CCTGCTGTGACCATGCCTGTGACCTTTGCCCTCTTGCTCCTCCTGAGCCATGCCACCGCGGACCCATGCTATGATCCAGGGGGCCAGCCTCGCTTCTGCCTCCCGCCAGTGACCCAGCTGGCCGGTGTGGCAGCTTCCTGCCCTCAGGCCTGCACCCTCTCCCCAGGGAATGGCCTCAGCCCCGGGGGCACCTGCAATGGCAGCCTGACCCTGGCCCTGGGTGGCCCTTTCCTCCTGACATCTGTCAGCCTGCGCTTCTGCAGCCCGGGGCCCCCAGCCCTAGTCCTGTCTGCTGCCTGGGCTGCTGGGGGTCCCTGGAAGCTGCTGTGGCGCAGATCTGCCTGGCCTGGGGCCTTGGGGGGCCCTGAGAGGGTGACTTTCCGCTCCACGCCAGGCCCTAAGGCCAGTATGGCAGCCAGCCACCTCCGAGTGGAGTTCGGAGGCCGAGCGGGGCTAGCAGCTGCTGGGCTAAGAGGTCGCTGCCAGTGCCACGGACATGCGGCCCGCTGCGCCGCCCGTGCCCGGCCCCCTCGCTGCCGCTGCCGCCACCACACCACCGGCCCAGGCTGCGAGAGCTGCCGCCCGTCCCATCGCGACTGGCCCTGGCGGCCCGCCACGCCCCGGCACCCCCACCCTTGCCTGCGTGAGTCCTGGGCCTCTCCCCACCCTGCTCTCCCCATCCTCATCCACCACGACGACCCTTGTCCCTACAGGGGCGAGACGCTCCCGTCCCTCCCCAGAACTGCACGCTCCTTGCTTCTCCCCACACTGTCTTGGATGCAGTCTCCTCCACGCCTCCTCCTCACAGCCTCCCACCCCCTCGCAGCCTGCCCTGCATCTCAGCTGCGCACAGGCCTGCCCACCCAGCGGGGCTCATCTCTCCCCAACATTCATTGGCCTGTGATGATGATGATGATGATGATGTAAATGACATCTCCCGAGCACCCAGCCCAGGGCCTTGCTGGTTGAACAGTTGTAGGAACAGGGCAGCTGGGCGTTTCCTGACTCCTCACGCCAGCCACACAGGGAAAGTATTGAGTCATTAAACACACATTTATCAATCGGCTACTATGTGCCAGGCAGGGACTGTCAGCAGGCCCAACCTACAGATGAGGAGTCTGAGGCTAGAGGTAGGAAGCCCCTGCACGAGGACTCGTGGCAGCTGTGTGTGGCAGGGCCAGGATCTGAGCTTGGGAAGCTGAGTTCTGGGGTCTCAGCTTGTCCCTGCCAAGCTCCTGTCGGGTGCTGTCACACCAGGTGTTCTAGAGTAGCGGACAGGAGCCCAGCCTCAGTAGCCAGCTAGACTACCTGGGCCCAAATCCCAGCTCCTCTGCTTGCCAGCTGAGTGACCTTAGGCAAGTTACTTAACGTCTCTGTGCCTTGGTCTCCTCCCCTGTGGAGTGGGGATAGTAACAGCAAATCCTTCATAGGCTGTAGTGAAAAGTCACTGAGCTTATGTACATAAAGCCCTTAGAATAAAGCCCGATACAGTACCTCACGCGAAGGAAGAGCTCCCTGAGCCATCAGCCATGTCACGATTCCCCAGGTAGGGAAGGTGAGACCCAAGGGGGAGCGTCACTTTCCCTAAGTCTCGCTGCCAGCAAGGGGCCGGACTTGGAGAGCCAGGCCTTCGTAGATGCCATGACTATCCACTGGGCCACCCAGCTGGACAAGCGCCCCCAGGCAGGTCCTGCTCAACGGGGCCTCTTCCCGTGGTGCTTCCGCTTCTAGCCAGGCCCTTCCCGTTTCCCTCCAGCAGCCCCTCCTCGGGGACAGTGTCAGCCCCTTCCAACCCTCCCACCTCCAGCCTATGACCCTTGGTAAAGCGTCTGAGTGTGTTACCAGCCCTGGGAGGTAACTGTGCTCCACCGACAGACACAGACACACACACACCTGTGTGCACAGACACGCGTTCCCTGGCCTTCCCTCTCTGCCTCCCACGTCCTTTGCTACGCTCCCATCTTTCCTCACACGTGAAGAACATCCCGTGGACCAACTCACAGACTATCCCCCCGCCCTTAGCTCCCTACTCTGCGCTCATCCCCATTCAGGACTTCCCTGGAGGCCACCACTGTCCAGGATTTGTGTCCCCCCTGCCAACTCAGGGCCTCCACTCAGTGGGCCCATTCCCACCAGCCAAATCTGAAGATCTGTCCCCTGCAGGGGAGAGAGGGCGGGGAGACTCACCTGGCCCAAGGGCGGGGTGGGCTTCATCCAGGGCCTGGTCAGGCTGTCCTTCTGAGGCTTGCCAGATGTCCCCAGGCCGAGCTGGGCACTGTCCTCCAAGCCTGGGTAGGAGACTGGCAGCGCTGTGGCGGAGAAGGGTGGGGTGAGATGAACTCCTACGCTGGGCTTTCCAGACATGGTGGTCTGCATCTCCCCTCTCCCATCTGAGCTTTCCAGAGGGGAAGTGAGGTGAAGTGGGTGAACCTTGGGTCAGGAAGACTCCAAAGCCTGACTCTACCCACTGATGATCTCAATAGCACTGCCACCACTAATGGCCACAAAAACCCTGGGAAAGAAGGATCAAGATCCCCACTGGACAGGGAGAAAACGGAGACTCAGAGAGGGAAAGTCATTTTCCTAAGAACACACAGCTGTCTCAGCTCCCTGACCACCCCACAGCTCCTCTGGACTCTCTGGGGCCTGCCAGTCCAGGCCTCTCAAACCTCTCAGAGTCAAAACCCTCTTAAGTCCCGGTCCCCTCAAAGAGTGGCCCATGAACCCCCCACGTCAGCATCTTACTTTGGAATCCTTGCTAGAGATCTAAATCCCTGGGCCCGGCAGAAGCCCTGGAATCTGTGTTGTTTTCTCAAAAAATGTGTCCCTGGTAATTCTGATGAGCAGTAAGGTTTGAGAGCCACTGCCTTAGAAAACCCAATGAATGCTCCCAGGAAAATGTACATCCTAAATAACCCTCACATGATCTGCCTAAGAATTACTAGAGTGTGGTTGCTAAGAGCACAGACTCTGGACCAGAAGTCTTGGGTTCAAATCTGACCTCTGACCACCCCCTAGCTACATTACTTTAGGCAGGTGATGTCACCGCCCTGTGCCTCAGTTTACCTCATCTGTAAAATGGGGATGATGAGTACCAACCTCACAGAGCGGTTGTGAAGATGAGATATGTCAAGCACCTGGCATGTGGAAGCACAAGACAGCTCGGTGCCAGGCCCTGGGTTGAGCACTTTATATTAATATCTGCTCTATCTCATTTAAGCCTCATGAAGTAAACACTACACATGCCATTTTACAGCCAAACAAACCGGGCTACACAAAGAAGTCACGTGCTCAAGGAACATACAACGGTAGACATGGGGGTCTGGCTCCACAGCCCACGCCCTGCCCTTCTCTAGGCGCCCACAGTTTCAGACAGATCTTCAGGAGGCTCACGAGTCCCACCGGGCTTATCCAGCTCCACTCCAACGTACCCATTTTAAAGACGAGAATGAAGATGTTTTGGGACTCAGGCTTACCCAGGGAGCCCCAGGCAGTCTCTTTCGTGTTGGATTCTCCCTTTATTTCCTTCCATGAGGGCAGGGCAGTGGGGAGAAAGCTGGGGACTGGGGAACAGAAAGCCTGGCCCTGATGCGCCCTGCCCATGTTGCTCCTAGCCTGCTCCTGCAATCAGCACGCTCGACGCTGCCGGTTCAACTCTGAGTTGTTCAGGCTGTCAGGTGGTCGGAGTGGGGGTGTTTGTGAGCGGTGCCGCCACCACACAGCTGGGCGGCACTGCCACTACTGCCAGCCGGGGTTCTGGAGGGACCCCAGCCAGCCTATCACCAGCCGCAAGGCCTGCAGGGGTGAGTATGGCCTGAGGCCAGGCCCAGGCGGAAAGGAGGCAGGGTTAGACTCCCGGGTCTGAGGGAAGAGGGGTTGGGGGCCTGGACTCCTGGGTCTGACGGGGGAGGCGGCTGCAGAATTGGGAGGGAGCATCTGGGACCCAGATACCCTATTCCCCCAGCTCCTCTCCTCATGCAGCCTGCCAGTGCCACCCTATTGGGGCCACAGGAGGCAACTGCAACCAAACCAGTGGGCAGTGCTCCTGCAAGTTAGGGGTCACAGGCCTGACATGCAACCGCTGTGCTCCTGGCTACCAGCAGAGCCGCTCCCCCAGTATGCCCTGCCAGCGTGAGTCCTGAGGGGCAGGGCCACAAGTCCTGACTGGGGTGGGAAGGACACATCCCAGGGGGCAAGGGTGGTGAGGGCTGGGGGCCTGGGACATGGGATCCAGAGGCTGAAGGCTGGACTCCGGGTCTTCGGGAAGGCAGGGACTGAAACTCCAGACTCTTCAGTCTCGGGCAGAAGAAGCCCGGGGGCCGGGACTCCTGGGTCCTGGGAGAAGACGGCAAGGGACACTTGCACTCTTGGGTCTTAAGGAACTTAACACTTAGAGTCTGGATGTCTGGATTCCTGGGGGAGGGGTGGGGATGGCGAAGAGGTTAAATTTTGTCTTTGGTCTCACAGGAATTCCAGAGGCAACAACCACCCTTGCTACTACCCCTGGTGCTTACAGCTCTGGTAAGACAGGCTGGCAGCAAGAGGGATTGGGGATGGGCTGACTGGGTCATCAGTCACACTGAATGGGATGCAAGGGTCACCCCTCGAGCCCAGTCCCAAGGTTTAGGCACCCCAGCTGGCCATCAACATGGAATGCAGGGATGGGTGGGGCAGTACGCTGTGGTCCAGGCCTCAGGAGCCCACTGCAGACAGCCTGACCCTCCCCAGACCCTCAGTGTCAAAACTACTGCAATATCTCGGACACCAGGGTACACATGAGCCTTCGGAGGTACTGCCAGCAGGACTACGGTGAGTGCTGGGGAAAAAAACAGCCGGAGGCAGCACAGATGATGGGATGACTGCCTCCACGTCTCTGGCCTTCAATTTTTTCATCTTAAATGGGAAAGGGTGTTGGATTCTAAAGGGTACTTCCTGATCTAGGAACTGATGGGACAGAGGACAAATAGGGGAGGGGGCAGTGGCGAGGAGGTATTCACTACCTTCCTGTATCTCCTCTTCCCCCATATCTGGAGCTTGTAGAGTTCCACTGTCTCCTTCAGCCTGACCTCTCTTGAGGGATGGAAGGAGAAAGAGGAACTGGTTGAATGGAAGGGGCCCTTGCCCTGTCCTGCCTATCTCGGATCCTTTCTGCCTCCCTTCATGGTCCCAGATTATCTGAGCCTTAGCCCCACTCCCCACAAAGACTCACTCCACAATTTCCTAATCTGTCAGTCCACACCTGTCCAGTGACCCTGGGGCCTACGACCTCAGGTAACTCAAGTCTCTTAAACACTCAGATATTCAGCCCAGCCCACATTTTTCTGAATCACTGCTAGTATGACCTTAACCCTCAGGTTCCAGGGACCAACCTCTACTTTCTGGCCCCCCAAATTCATCCCAGGGCCCCTCTCCCAAAAATACCTCTCTTTTCCAAGGGTTCCACTACTGATACCTTCTGACCCCGCTGTATTAGAGTTCCTGGACCTGACTTTTCTGCCTTGTTCCTGGCCCCACCTACCGTAGGGTCCCTTTATACCCCCACCCCCATATCTTTACCATAATTCCTGTAGTTTTTCCTCTTAAAATGACCCCCAGAGCCCCACCCAACAAATCCCAGGCTCCTGGGCTCCTGTCCCTGTCTGGACTTCCTTCCTCCAGAGGACAACACATAGCCCCTCGCCCTTCCCAATCATAATCCTGGAACCCCACCTGGCAAACCATAAACCCCACCCCTCCTAATCCTTCACCCTCCCTTGAGTGTCTCCTCCAGCAGGCCCCACCCCTCACGACTTAGGTTCAAACCCTCAAAGATTCAAGAGCTCTCCTTCTTGACGCGATCCCTGACACCCACCCACTAGTCCTGGGCCCCTCGCCACCAGAACTGACCCCAACGGGACCCTGTAGGCTCCCCCCAGCCTAGGCCTGACATCTTCCCTCCCCTCAGTTCTCCACGCGCAGGTGCTAGCGTCTGAGGTAGCGGGCCAGGCGTGGCGGCAGCTGGCCGTGCGCGTGCTGGCCGTGTACAAGCAGCGGGCATGGCCCGTGCGCCGCGGGGACCAGGACGCCTGGGTGCCCCGCGCTGACCTGGCCTGTGGCTGCCTGCGTCTACGGCCAGGCACCGACTACCTGCTGCTGGGCAGTGCTGTCGGCAGCCCAGACCCCGCGCGCCTCGTTCTTGACCGCCACGGCCTCGCGCTGCCCTGGAGGCCGCGCTGGGCCCGGCCGTTGCGGCGGCTGCAGCAGGAGGAACGTGCCGGAGGCTGCCACGACCTGAGGCCTTCGACACCTAGCCCGAAGGCTGAGCACTAGGCCAGAGCTAGAACACCTTGAACCCAACCAAGAAATTTGGAAGCAACGGTGAAGCAGAGCCTCCCACCTCGACGGAGCATCGGTGGAGAGCCAATCAGACGTCGCGGAGCCCCTGACGTCACTGTGCATGCGCCAGCACCCACCAGCGGCGTAGGAGACTTAACGGGAGCCGGCAAACTGCAAGCAGGACTTTTCATCCAGCAGCCCTTCATTTGGCCTGTGGCCTGTTCCCCGCCTGAGATCTATTCCCCGAAATAAAGTCTCAAATCTTGAGGAATTTAAGCTACAGACCCCTAATCGATGCTGGGAGAGTCTGTAGGGGCAAAGGAAGAAGGCCTTGAGTAAATATGCGGAGTGAAGTCTTCACTAGAGCTCCCTGACAAAGTGGCCAATCCAATGAGAGAGGCCCTCTGACGTCACTGGGTGCTAGTCATATTTGTGTTGCCCGATGATAGGCCAAATGCCAGTGGGAGGGGTGTGGCTGGTAAAGGCGGGAAATACAATGAAGGAAGGGACAGCAGTTCCAGATTTCCAGAAAGTTCCAGACATAGGAACTTTTGATCCCTGATAGGCCTCCGGATGGACTCTGAGAAAAGAATAAAGGGACTTTGAGTGATTATGTGAAGAGGGTTCTGATAGGTTCACCTGTGCTTGAAATACAATGTAGACTCATTCCTGAGAGAATAGCCAATTGGGAGCCACAGAGTTGTATGACATCACTTGGTACTAAGCAGAATTCTATTCCTATCCAACAGTTGGGTACCTACAGGCCAGAAGGGGTGGGGCTGAAAAGGCAGGAGATAGTACATACTAGGGAACAGAAGGTTGTCACCACCTAGGACCTTCCTTGTCGTCCTGATCTCTGCCCCTGCACCCACAACCAACGACACAATTTCACATTTGGGTGACCTCCAGCTGAGCCCAGGGTGGGGACATCCCTGAAGCAGGAATCTTTAAGGGATTTTCTAAGAAGAGCTCCCTGTTCCAGCAAAACTATGTTCCTTGTCTTTGCTCTTTTCATGCTCTCTTGAAGGCAATTCCATTGGGCATTCACCTCCCCCTTACTCCACCTTCATGTCCAATCCATCAGCAAATCCCATCCACTCCGACAAAATATGTCCATAATTCAACCATTTTTACCATCTCCATTGCTACCGACTTGGTCCAAGCCACCACCGCTGCTCACCTGGATCATTACAATCATCTCCACACTGGTCTCGCCAATACCCCCTTAGAGTCTTCTTCACACAGAAGCCAGGATAGTCACTTTAAAACTTTAGGCAGGTCATGTTACTACTAGGCTGAAAACTCCGGGATGGCTTCCATCTCTCGGAATAAAATCCAAAGTCCTTGCCCTACCCCAAAAGGCCCTACATGATCTACCCCCCCGCCACATATCACTGACTACACCTCCTACAACTCTTCCTCATGAGCGCCACTGCAGCCACCCTGGCCTCCCCCTTCCTTAAAAAAACGAGCACACTCTGCCCCAGGGTCTTTGCACTTGCTCCTCTCTCTTCCTGGGACACACTTCCTCATTTAACAGTAAGCTGGTTTCCATATGTCATTGAGGCTTCCCATTAAGCAGCTTAGGCTGGCTCTGTTGGCTTGACACAATGAAAGTTTATTTCTTGCTCATGTAAATGTCCCATGCAAGTTGGCAAGGGGTGGTTTTCCACAGAGTAACTGAAAGACCCAGACATTCACCGTCTTGCAGCACCAACCACAACCCAGGGTGTCCTCGATCACTGAGGCAGGGACAGAGCAAAAGCACTGAATGGTCCCACGCGTACAATAAAATCTTCGGTCCAGGAATGACTCCTGGCCCTTCCATGTACAGCTCATTCATCAAGATTACTCACACGGTTCCACTCGACTGCATGAAGGCGGGGGAAGTGGAATTCCCTTATGCCCAGAAAGAGAGAAGAACTGGCATATTCATTTCCTATTGCTGCCATAACAAATTACCATACACTCAGCAGCTATAACAACACAAATTTCTCATCTTACAGTTCTACAGATCAAAAGCCCTACAAGGGTTTCACTGGGCTACAATCAAGTGTTAACAAGGCTGCATTCCATCTGGAGCCTCTAGGACAGAATCTGTTTCCTTTCCGTTCCTAGGTTCTAAAGCTACCCACATTCCTTGGCTCATGGCCCCTTCCTCCATCTTCAAAGCCAGCAATGGGAGGTTGAGTCCCTTTCACACTTAAAGTTTCTCCTGCCTCTTCTTCTAGCCTCACATCTCTTTCTGACCACAGCTGGGAAAAGTTCTCTGCTTTTAAGGATTCATGTAATTAGATGGAGACCACCTAGACCATCCAGAATAGTATCTATCCATCTCAAGGTCCTTAACCTTAATTACATATGCAAAGTACCTCCTGCCATGTAAGGTAACATATTCACCAGTTCTGGGGATGAGTCCGGACATCTTTGGACACCATGATTCTGCCTTCCACAACTGGATATAAGTGACTACTAGAATTTTCCATCGTGGGTCTCTGCTCAAATTTCACAATATCAGAGAGAACTTCCCTGTCTACCCTAACTAAATAGCAGCCCCCTCCAATCCTTCTCAAATCTTTTATCCTACTTTATTTTTATTCTTATTGCCACCCGATATATTAAATGTGTCAATTTGTTTTACTATTTTTTGTTCCACTAGAACAGAAACACCATGGTAGCGGGGATTTTGTTTTGCTCATGATGTATCTCCTGCATCTAAAAAAGGGACAGACTCCTAATAGATGCTCCATAAATATTTATTGAAAGAATAAATCAATGAATGGTCTAACTTGCAGCCCAACTTACGGAAGTGGTACCTCATGCCATCTGTATCATTAGGATTCACAATATTACCTAAATAACAGTGGTCTAAAAGATAAGAGTTTATTTCTCTCTTGCATAAAAGAAGTTTGGAGGCCAGACGCATTGGCTCATGCCTGCAATCCCAGCACTTTGGGAGGCTGAGGTGGGAGGATCACGTAAGGCCAGAAGCTCAAGGTTACCATGATCTATGATTGTGCAACTGTACTCCAGCCTGGGCAACAGAGTGAGACTCTGTCTCTAAAATAATAATGAATTTCTGTCCATGAAACCTACAAATAATAATAAGAAGAAGAAGAAGAAGAAAGAAGGAAAGAAAGGAAGGAAGGAAGGAGGAAAGAAAGAAAGAAAGAAAGAAAGAAAGAAAGAAAGAAAGAAAGAAAGAAAGAAAGAAAAAAGTCTGGAGATAGTCCAGGCACCAGGAACCTTACAACTTTCTTCCCCACCATCCTTAGAACAGTTATCGTCCTCATGGTCCAAAATGGCAGCTACTGCTCCAGCCATTGCATCTGTATTCATGCAGCAGGATGGAGGAAGGCAAAGAGAAAAGATCAAAGGGCCCACACAGCTGACTTAAAAGAATGTCTTCCAAGAGCTAACACACCATCCCTGTATTCTCATCTCATTGGCCAGAATTTAGTCACATGTTCCCATCCAGCTGTAGGAAAGGGTGGGAATGCAGCCTTTAATACTGGGCTGTCTTGGATCCAGCTAAGTAGGGTGTTTTGATATCAAGGAAAGATAATAGAAAGGATATTTGGGGAAATTAGTAGACCCTACATTACAGCAGGCCCTCAACCAATCAGAGCCCAGAGGATCCTATGACATCATGAGGTGCTAGGCAGAGCAGCCTTTGGCATTTATTGGAAAAGAGGCTGAGAGTGGAAGGAGGTGTTGTCTGGCCATGAAATTCCATCCCACCTCTTGCCGCCCCA